ATGCCCCCGCCGGCTCCTTCTGCCTGCCCTTGCCTTCTCCTGCGTTTGCCCTTGCGTCCTCCTGCCCGTCCTCCTGCTGTCCCCACCTGTCCCCGGCCCCGCTCCCCGCCCCACGCCTGCCCCTTTCTCCCCTACGACCACCCTGGCGATGGGGTGCCCCGGGATGGAGGACGGATGCCCGCCGTCCCCTGCCCACGGGGCATGTGCAGGCAGGAGGATGGGGCCCCGCGGGCAGGAGCAGGGTCGGGGCTGGTCCCCAGACTGAGGGGACGGCACCCCCGGGGGCTGCACCCCCTGCGGCTCCCGGCGCTCTGAGCCCGGGGGTCCCCGCGGCTCCTCGCCGAGGATGCTCTGGGGCAGGGGTGCAGAGGGAGCGTGACGGAAGGTGGTGACCCCCGTGCTGGGATGTGCCCGGCTCGGAGCAGCGGGGCTGAGGACACGTTTGTCCCCCTCGGAGAGGCTGAGAGTGCATCCCACACCAGGGCATCTCCCCTGCACCCAGCTGGCAGCTGGGGGGGTTCCTCTGCGCTGCCCCTCGGGGACGGGGTCCTTTCGGGGCCAAGTCCTGGAAGACATGGCTGACTGAGAGGAGGCAGCTCCGGGGCAGGCTGCGTGCCTGGTGGTGCTGGGGTGGGAGCGGAGGACACCCCTGCCCGCAGCGGGAGGGAGGGCACAGGGCTGGGGTTCCCTCCCGCTCCAGAGGGCACCGGCTCAGTGGGGAGGCTGTGGCCCTGGTGCAGTTCCCCTGGGAGGTGGTGGGTACCTGCCATGGACCCCCACCCTGCCCAGGGGTGCATGCCCAGCAGCTCAAGGAGCGCCCCGAGGTCTTGTCCTGCAGGAGCTGCCCAGCCCCTGCCTTTCCCCCGGTGCAGACGCCCTGCTCCCATCTCCTGGGGGTGTTCCTGGCATGGGTGGGCACTGTCACTCTGCCTGGAGGGAGCCTGGCAGGGTCAGCATGGCCAGCGGCAGCACCCGGCCCCCAGCTGCTCCAGCTGTGTGGCTTCACGTGCCGTGTTGGCACCAGTTCTGCATGTGGATCCCAGCTCCCACGGGAGGCTTTGCTCAGTGGCATGGCCAGCGTTCACCCTGCCTGGCTCTGCCCTGGCAGGGCGCTGGGTCTCGGGGTCTCTGCCCTGCCTGGCACACGGTGGTGGCCCAGTGCTGCCCCAGCCTGGGCTCCTGCAGGGACCAGAGGAGCTTTGTGGGGGGCCAGACGGGTGCTCGACCCCCGGCATGGCGGGGCTGGGGTGCGGGCAGGATGCTGCCCTGGCTCACAGAGCCCTGCAGGGGTCCTGGTCACGGTGCGTGGCAGAGCCCGGCCACTGGCTTCTCTAACCCTGGCTCTGTCTCTCTCTTTCTACCCCCAGGGAGTAAAACCCAAGGCGTGGTGCAAGGTGTGACCTCAGGTATGGTCCCCTCCGTCTCCCCACCGTGGTACCCCCTCTGGCCCCAGGAGTGTGGCCGCGCTAACGAGATCAGAGGCTAATTGAGGGGCTGATGTCACCCGGCTAAAGCCTATTACATAACTGGGCCGGCAAGGAAGGATTTGCAGTGGCCGCTCACACTCCCTGCCCAGCTGCGGAGCAGCGTCCCGGCCCCCTCCCCTCCCCAGCGCCCAGGCAGGGAGGCGGGGAGGGCCTGATCCTGCCCAGCATCACCCCCCCGGGTGGTACAGGGCATGGAGCCGCAGCTGGCCTGGCACGGGGTGGGGGGGCACTGATGGGCACCCCCGCCTCTTGCAGTGGCTGAGAAAGCGAAGGAGCAGGCGTCCCAGCTGGGCGAAGCGGCGTTCTCAGGCGCCGGCAACATCGCGGCGGCCACCGGGCTGGTGAAGAAGGAGGAGTTCCCTGCGGACCTGAAGGTGAGACATTCCCCCCTCCTGCCCCCCCCCAGGCACTGCCGTGCCCGTGGGGATGCTGGCACATCCCCAGGATGGGCAGGGAGCTCCCCGGCTGCTCCCCAGCCCTGCAGGAGGGACCCCGAGGGTCCCCAGCTGCTGGGTCTGTGCCCGGGGCAGGCTGGTGTCGCTGCCCCAAGCGTGCCGGCTGCGTGTGTGCCCGCTGCGGACGTGTGCATGCCCGGGCTCCGGCATGGCGGGCAGCGGCGCGGGCCAGCGGCGCATCACTCCAGCGGCTGCGAGGTGCCCTGGCAGCTGCGGGAGCGGAGGGACGGGGAGGGGCAGCGGGTTCGCATCTCGCCGCCCCCACGAGCCGTTGGCTTCCAGCTTAGCCCAAAATAGCATCAGCTGAAGAAATGAGGCCATCGCCGCCACCGCTGCTGCACGGGGGGGGGGACCGGCCACCCCCCCCCTTTCCCTCCCGCCAGCTGCTCTGCCAGCCCCGGGGAGGGGTTACCCGGCACCACCTCCCCTGCTAAGGGATGCAGGATGCTCCTGCAGCCCCACCGGTGCCTGGAGGCCATCAGGGCCCACACGGTGCCCGCACCCATCACTGGGGCTGGCAGTGGTGCGGGGACACATACACTCAGACACTTCTCCTGTGGCCTCCTGCCTGTCACCTCCCAACATGGTGGGCCAGCGTGTGCCTGGGGTGCTCTTGCCAGTCCCCCCCTCCCACTGCCCCCCCCAGGTGGAGCCCCCCAGCATCCTGGGTGCGTTGCTGGTCTCTACCGTGTGTGTAGAGACCTCCCACCACCCATCAGGGAGGGTGGGTGCTGTGTGTATGGGGGGGTGTGTGTGTGTGGGACTGACCCCCTGCTTCACCCCCAGCCGGAGGAGGTGGCCCAGGAGGCTGTTGAGGAGCCGCTGGTCGAGCCGCTGCTGGAGCCAGAGGGGGAGAACTACGAGGAGCCCCCGCAGGTGAGGGGACGGGATGGTGGGGGGGGTCACAGGGCACTGTGGAGGGCTGGGGGTGCCAGCGCTCAGCTCGCCAGTGGCCATCGCTGTCCGGAGCAAAGCCCGGAGCCCGCTGGCTCTCTGGTGCCCTGTGGCCACAGCCCTGCTGCCTTGTGGGCAGGCTGGCCTGGGGATGGGGGGGGATGACAGGGGCTCTGTGTCCCACCTGAGCTCTCTCACCAGCTCTTTCTTTCCCCACCCCGCAGGAGGAATACCAGGAATACGAGCCAGAGGCATAATGGACCCCCATCCTCGCCTCTTCCACCAGCAGCACAACGAACCGCCGGTAGCCCCCTGCTCCTCCCCAGCCGGCCCCGGCCGGTGCCCACGTCCCGGGGAGGAGCAGGGGGGGCCCTGCCCCGTTCGCTCACGAGTTCTTCCTCCAGTTCCGTTCCAAGGAACTGTGTCCGTCTCTCCGTACCGTGTCTAGCAGTGAGAAAAACCCACCCGTGTCCAAGCCCCCGAGCCCCGGCGTGTGCCCGAGCTGCGGGCGCTGCCCGCAGGGGCCGGTGTGTGCGTGCGTGTGTGCGTGTGTCCCCGCAGCCCGGGTTTATCACTCTGCCTCCCTCCCAGCGCCATAAACCCCGGCTGCGTCCCGGCGTGTCTGTGTCTGTACAAAGCATGTTGACCTGCTCGCGGGCTGCTGTACATTTTGCTTGCACGTGTGTCCCTGTGGTTCTGCTCTGGTCATCGTGGAACTATTTTTTTTTTTTTTATATATATATATCTCTATCTCTCTCTATTTATGGGTGGACGGGTCTTTTGCCTTTGTGAACCCTTTGGTGCCCAAGCCCTCTCCCCAGCCTGCTGGGTGGTGACGGTGCCCACGTGCCCCCCTACCCCCTCCCTCCCCTCCGAGGTCCCGTAGTGCCGACGCTGTGTTGTGACGTGGCATGGATATCCCCCCGCCCCCGTCGCTGGATGTGCAATACGAGGGCAGCTGCCAGTGACACAGCTGCCCCCGTGTCCGTGAATAAAGCCAACTCTTGTCTGTAGAGCCCTGGTCCTGGTTGTGGGTCCCCTGGGGTGAGGGGTGGCCCCGCGCTTTGGTGGCAGGTTTTGGGAAGAGGTGGTTTTGGCTCGGGGAGTGGGCAGGAGTGTCTTGTGAGGACAAGATGTCCTTCTGTCTGCTCGCTGCTGTGTCAGCAGCGGGTCACCACGCCCTGGGCCTCCAGCCATGCTCTGGCTGACGCCTGGGGTGCTGGCAGTGTCCCCGTGTCACCTGCCAGCGTGCTGGCTGCAGTGCTTTTTGTCTGCAGGTGAAACCAGGGCGTTCTTTGGGGTTGAGGACCCCAAGCCAAGATGAGACTAGACAGAGTCTTGGGCTCAAGCACTGGTTCCCTCCCAGGAGATGCCGGCTGTGCTGGGTTCAGGTGTTGGGCACAGGCTTCCCTGGGTCCTCCCTGCAGCAGGATGTGCTGCTGTTTGCAAGGTACCTCCTAGAGATGCACCCTGAGTTTGTGCTAAAAGCACAGAGCAAAGGGGAGCCTCTCTCTCCTCTGCTTTCCCACCTTCCTGTGGGACCTTGCTCAGGGGTTGCCAGAAAAATGGCTGGCACCCGTGGCTCGCTTAGATGCAGGGTGACCACCTCAAGGGCAGGTGACTGCCACACACCACTACGCGATGCCCACCACAGCAGGGGGTCCTGTGCCCACCCCACAGCACAGTCTTTGGGACTTCAGCTCCCTGAGGGCAGGGCCACCAACCCAGCCTGAGTCCCCAGCCCCTTGACTGCAGCACGGGCCGGGATGAGGAGCCGGGCTGTGCCTCCCCGCCATGAATATGAGATTAAATCCCCCGCCCATGCTGGCTCGCCAGCTCTGCCGGCAGAACGAAGCTGCAGCAGTCAGCACGGCCACACAACAGGTTTGCTGATGCCTGCAAATCCCCACCCTGGCTCTGCTCCCCGTGCCTGTGCCAGTTGCAGCAGCGCTCGCAGCGCCCACCGCGCATTAGTAAATGGACCGAGACGGCTGTTCCCGGGGCTGCCTGTGCCGTGGGCTGTCCCCTCCCCTACAACTTAATTGCATTTTTTTCCTTCCCTTCTCCAATTCTGCCAGCCATGGGCAAGCAGACCCAAACCAGCAGCAGCACAGCTTCCTCCAGTGCCTAAGGGGCTGCAAAGGGGCTGGGCCAGGGGGAGTGTGGGGGAAGACAGCCCCCTGCCCATAAGAGCTGAGAAACAGGCAGCAGGGAGAGAACGTGCTCAAATCAACCATTTATAGAGATCGGGGTGCCCCCCTCTGCCACACATGGCGTCCCGGGCACCTGCTGTGCAGCAGGACTATGATCCTCACCACGTGGCTGGCAGTGACGCCGGGGACTGTGACCCTCACGGTGCAGCTGGCAGCGATGCCGGGGCAGTCTCGCTGGGAGCTGTGTCAGTAGGTGAACCCGGCCTCGTTGTAGACGGTGAACACCTTCTCCAGAGCACACAGGTAGGCAGCGGTTCTCTGGTCCAGGCCTAGGTTGTACCTTGCAGCCATGGCCATAATTTGCTAGAGAGAAAGAGGAGAGCTGTGAGGCCAGTGTGTGCTGGGAGGGTCTGGGGGCAAGGGGTGGGCAGAGGACACGGAGAGGAGGGTGAAGGCAGCACCACATGTGCAAGCAACCAGGCCAGACCCTGCGAGCATCTAAAGGGGAAGAGGCAACCTCCACACCAAACAACTCTCTTCTCGCAGGTAATTAGTGACAGAACGAGAGGGAACGGCTTCAAGCTCCAACAGGGTAGGTTTAGACTGAAATTAGGAAAGAATTTTTCACAGAAAGAGTGGTTGGGCATTGGAATACGCTGCCCAGGGAGGTGGTCGAGTCGCCATCCCTGGCTGTGTTTAAGAGTCGTTTAGATGTGGTATTGGGGGATATGGCATAGGGGAGAACTTTGTAAGAGTAGGGTTGATGGTTGGACTCCATGATCCCAAGGGTCTTTCCCAACCTAAATGATTCTATGAGCAGGTCTGGAGACACTCTCCAACTGCTGCCCCCCAGCACTCCTCTGGGGACAGGCCCTGCACCCACGGACAGGCTCCATGAGCACGGCATGCAGCCTCTTCCCCGAGGGGTGGCATGAGACTCTGTCCTCACCAGAACCAGCACCAGCACCACCCTGCACCCACTGGCTCATCTAAGCAACCTTGGAAATGGGGAACGCCAGGTCCAGGGGGATGGACAGAGGGACAAGGACGCAACAGCAACAATGAACACTGCTGGACATGAGGCTTTACCCAAAGTGTGGACACAGCCACCACTGAGAACATGACCCCAGGCCTCGTGATGACCCACCAGGAGTAGTGATGGGGTGCTGTGGGCAGGCACCCCCCAAATCCAGCCCAGAGCCTCTGCAGCGAAGCAAGGGGCCTGACAGCAGGGATGGGCAAGGCCAGGAGCCTGTGGAGGTACCTTGGCTGACTGCTCCATGGTGTAGGCCAGTCCCGAATACACGATGTCCTTCTCTGAGGCACGCTGAGGGGGGAGAACAAGGAAATCCTTTGAGGGAGAGGATACAGGTTGCCCCTGCAAACCCATTTATCAAACACAGCCCCTCTGCTTGGAGCAAGACCACCACAGGCAGTCTAAGCATGGCTTGCCACCTCTGCAGCTGGCTCCAGCACATGGCTTGGCTCCCAAGGGACTCCCTGCAGCACCCAGAAGCACCCTCAGGCGGTAGGGCTGTACCACCACGCAGTGTCTCCACTCCATCCCCTCCACTATTGGGATGACAGGAGTGTCTGGGAGTGTGGAACAAGTGAGTCAGGACAAGTCTCCCTGGTTGTAGACACTTACAGTCACACGGGCCTGGAACTCTGGGGACGGGATGATGGGGATCTCCCCTCTGGACTTGCCAAACCACTGCTCCAGGCTGTGCTGCACTGACTGCAGGAGGTAGTAGCTGGATTCCCACTCGTACTTGAAGCTGAGGCGGCCGTAGCTAACGTGGTTCAGGTTCTTCAGCCACTCAAAGAAGGACACGGTCACACCACCTGCATTCACATACACATCCTGCCAAGGGCAGTAGATACTTCAGATTTGCTGCTTAGGGTGACCATGAGACCCATCTGGGGATTTCTCTTCCTCTGCCTCCGAGTCCCTCCCCATACCCTTGGGCTCTGCCCTGAGAGACAGTCCTGAGGTTACTGGGATGGCTGAATCCTCGAGCCACGGTGGCTCTGCACTGCCTCTGAGCAGAGACACCGGCTGCTCTGATGGGGTGTGATGTGGCACAGTTTGCTGCTGGCCCATCAGTGGCTGCAGGACAACCCGGTGCTGGCCAGGAGCCCTGTGGTCTGTCACTGCCGCAGCCAAGAACCAGGAGGGTTCAAAAGGGACAGCAGCATGTGAGATGTGCTCAGGAGCTGGGGACAAGGCAGGGAACAGGCTGATTGAGACAGCACCATCAATGCTGTCTGATCCCAGAGCCTGGCAGAGCCCAGCTGGATCCACATCGGTGCAGCTGACAACGCTGGGTGGCCCTAACAGCCATGAGCCCACCATCTCCCCGTGGCAATGGACATACCGGGATGACCAGGATGTTTCTTTGCAGGAATATCTCGTGTGCTGCTGGCGTAGTGGGGCCGTTGGCAGCTTCTGCAATGATCTGAGAGCACAAGCAGAGCAAAGGTGAGAGCAAAGGTGGAAGAAATGAAAGAAGAAACCACTGACAGGCTGTTTTCCCTGCTGCTGAAACTCTCCTGGAGTCCCAGGTCCCAACACACCCAGTCCCTTGGGTCCCCAGAGCTCACAGTGAAGGCAGGAAGCTGGCATTCACAGCAGTCCCCTCCTTTGTTCACTCTTATCTGCTGCCTATGATTTTTGGTGTAAACACTGTGACACCTTTGAGGATATCACCTCCTCTGCCCTTTGGTGTCAACACTGTGACACCCAGTACCTTCGAGGATATCACCTCCTCTGCCCTGGGGGGAGGATCTGATGCAGCAATGAAGACTGAGGATGCCAGAAGAACCAGCCAAGGTCACTCCAACTATCCTTGCTCCCTGCCAGCAAAGGGAAGAGCTCAGGCTTTCCTCTTCCCCTGAATTATGTGACCTGCCACCTCTGCCTAAGGCTCTGTCCCTCTGGCACAGCCAGCGAGTTGTCAGTGCTGTGATGTGACACCTCCCTGGGGTGCTGAGTGCCAAAAGTGAAGGTTCAGCTGGGCTGTTGTCACTCACACTGATGTGGGGCCTGTTGGGAGTGTGCGGTGTGAGTGGCCTGTACCTTTGCTTGCACCCGGGGCGCATTCTCCCTCGTGAGCTGCTTCTCAATAGCTGCAGGGATGAGGATGTCACAGGGCACCTCCAGGATGCTGCCATCATAGGGCTCTGCTTTTGGAAAGCCAACTATGGTGCCGTGGCTCTGGAATGAGCAGGAAACACCGCTGGACCCAGCCTGGCAGCACGGAGCACTGCCCTCAGAGCTGGACTCTGGTGAGGGGCAGCCCCCTTCTCCGTGGGCGTTTCAGAGACAGACAGTGACCACCACCCCCTAAGAACAGGGGCTGGGCTCAACTCACCTGCTCGTATTCTTGTAGCTCCTTGGGGTCGATCCCCCTGGGATTGTAAATGGCTCCATCTGTCTCCTCAACACCGATGCAGCGGGCTCCATACTGGTGCAGGTACTTCATGGTGTGCACCCCCACTTTGCCAAAGCCCTGCAGCGACAAAGAGCAGAGATGGGCTGGGGAGAGGGAAGTCATGGGGACAAACACTGAAAACTGACCTGCTGCTCTGGTAACAGTCCCCTCTCAGGAGCCTGAGCTGAGAAGCACAAATAGGAACCCCTGATCTAGCAGTTCTTGGTGAATGTTTTGGCTGGATGGAGACCAGGACCTGGCAGGACAGAGATGCCCTTGGCTAGTTAGAGGGTTGTGAAAAGCAGAGCCCATGGGATAAAGGTTTCTTAGCTCAGCCTGCCTTTATCACCCCCAGAGCTCCTGCACATCATGTTCCAAGCCCAGCACGCCATTCAGTTTCTAACAGCTGGTCTCAATGGAAAACAGGT